TTTAGCCAGCTCGTTTATTTATTTATTTTTTAGCCAGCTGTTTTAAAATGTGAAGTATAATTAACATTTCATTTTGATACAGAAACTTCATAAATCTTCATGCTAATGGAACCTTGTATAGACCAGAAAAATGAAATTTAGACATTATCTATAAATTTCATTTTTGAACATATCAGCATTCTCTCTCCAGAACTGTTTTCATGCCACCAAACCAAAAAGTGACATATCTAGGTACAATGATAACAAGGAAAACCATACACACCAAGAGAAGCAAAGTGACATTTTTTTTTTGGCAGTACCAGGGATTGAACCCAGGGCCTCATACTTGTATTGGGCATTTTTGAGATAAGGCCTTTTGAACCATTTGCCCTTGCCTCCTGAATAGCTAGGATTACAGATGTGAACCACAGCACAAAGCAACTCTTAAAGGCACACTATTTTAAGATTACTTAAATAGCATGCTAAATAACCTTCTCAATTTCTTTTTTGGTCTTCTCACACCAGCAAAAGCCATTGCATGTATACTTTGTCACCTTTAAATAGGAAGTCAAAGACCAGGGACATGCCAGTCACCTCTTTACCTCTGAATTTCATTAGATCACTTGCAAACAATACAGTTTAGGAATTATGACTAAGACGTTATCATGCTTTGCCTCATTATTTCAGATTTCTAGATATACGTTCCATTACGTGGTTTCTTTATTCCACTTGGATTTATTTATTATTATTATTTAAAAAAATTTTTTTTTTTTGGAGGTAGGGTCTTGGTGTGTAGCCCAGGCTGGTCTCAAACTCAAGATTTTCCTGCCTCAGCCTCATGAGTGCTGGGATCACTGGGCTTGGCCACCACTCCTGCCTAGAGGAAACCTTTAATCCTTTATTGATATTACTTATAACTACTGAATTCCTTTATTAAAGAGTGACTTATTTTTACTCAGCCCATGAGGGGAAAAAATAGGACATTTATGCCCACATCAGGGGATCTCAACTTGTCTACATGTTAAAATCACTTGTGGAGCTTTTAAAAATACAGATGCCAGGTTTGAGATGTAGCTCAGTGGTAGAGTACATGCATGCACAAGGCCCTGGATTGATCCCCAGCACCAGAAAAAGATAATTACAAATGCTGAGGAAAATCACAACCTTGTTAGGTGTGGCCTAGGCCTACACCTGGCTTACACACAAAATAGGTCCCCCATTTAGGGTTTCCCTTTGTCTTTCCCATATACTAGGGAGATACTAGAGAGAGGCAGTTGGATCATCTGACCTGCCCATCCACTCGGTCTGAATCCTATCATTAAGGAAAAAAATTTAAAATACATATGCGTGGGCTGAAAGTATAGCTCAATGGTAGATTGTTTGCCTAGTATTCAGGAGGGCCTGTGTTCAACCCCCAGCACTGCAAATAATATCATTATTAATATACAAATACCTAGTCCAGACAAATACTAAGTTTTGTAAAATTTCAAACCATGGTTTATATACTCTTATCCAAAGTTCTTATTACAGACAAATAATATCAGCACTCTAAAATAGTGGGAAGTCTTAAAGTAGCCCATTTTTGCATTGGGATCCATCTGCATTTTATTTGATTACAGGCATAGCATTCTGGGAATTCACATACCACCCTACTTCGACCTAATAAAAGAACTATATTATGAATACATGACTGAAATACTATGTCCTGAAATTTGCTTTGATGTATTCTTTTAAAAGAAAGGAACCTGAACGCTCTTGAAGCACTACGAAGCTCAATTGCTACACATCAGAATTCTACCGAATCTTCTTTATTCCCATTAAGTGTAATACTAGAGAAGAAGGATAATATTAAGAAGTTATTTGAAGAAACCTTTAGACAACTTGGGGACAAAAGCAATTTTCTTCTTTTTTTTACTTCAGTTATTGCCATTCACTTTAAAACTAACTAGGCAAGGCATGGTGGCTCACACCTATAAACCCAGCTCCTCAGGAGGTGAAGATCAGGAAGATCATGATCCAGGCCAGCCGGAGTGTAAACTGTGAGACTCTGTCCCCAAAATAACTAAAACAAAAAGGGTTGGGGGCGTGGCTCAAATGATAATGATGGCTTGGCAAGGGAGAAGCTCTGAGTTCAACCTCCAGTACTAAAGAAACCACAAAAAACATTAAAGTATGACCATCTGATTTCCATTTCGATGGTATGTCTTCAGTCTATACATGACAATTACATTCCTTGAGTCTCCTACAAAGAATTTCTTACAGTGACAAAATGGGACTTGCATAATTCAAGAGAAGGGTAAATGCTAAAGTAAAATATACTGTGCCTTTTATTGTGCATTGGATTGACTTAAAACTTCTCCTTATCCAGAGGAAAACACAGGTTAACAACAACAACAAAACCACAAGAAACAGCAGGCAGGGGAAAAGCCTATAAGCATAGGTGTTATAAGACGATCCTGTATTTTGGGTCCCTATTTTTTAGCCTAGCTGGTTGAGGTGGTAATGGCCTGTAACCCCAGCACTGGGGAGGTTGAAGCTGGAGAATGGAGAGTTCGAGGGCAGCCTGGTCTACATAGAGAGGCCCTACCTCAAAACACCAAGGGCTATGATGTGTGTGGTTCGGGGGTCGCGTTTGCCTAGCATGTGTTACTAGGATTGATCTGCACACGATTTTGGTTTTTCTTTTTCGGTACTGGGGTTTGAACTCAGGGCCTCTTGCTCACTAATTGGGCGCTCTACCGCTTAAGCCATGCTCCCAGCCCCTTTTTGCTTTGGTTATTTTGGAGATGGGGGTCTTGTTTTTTGCCCAGGTCAGCCTAGGACCTGGCCCGTGTTTTCCTATTTTAGCCCCCTCTCCCCACCCCAGTCGCCGGATAGCAGGCGGTCACCGCCACGCCCCGTTTTTTGTTGTTGTTGTTGAGTGGGGGTCTAGTGGACATGTTCCTGGGCTGGTCTGGAACCGTGCTCGTCCTGATCACAGCCTCTCGCCTAGCTGGATTACAGGCGTCGCCACCACGCCCGGCTTGAAAGCCGCTTTTGCCTCAGCGGGGAAGGTTACTCGCGGGTGGCCAAAGTGGCTCTGTGGCTTACTTCCCGGGAAGACGACACCCGCCAGCAGGAGGAAGAGTTAGGAACCTTTCTTTTCTTCCTAGTCCTGTCTCCCCACAAAGTCACTCAGCACCCAGCAGCTAGACCTCCAGAGAGGCCTCGGACCTACCAGGCACCCCTAAAGCTAGAACTGGGGCGAGGTACAGAACTGCCCTGTGTTGCACACGGGCGCCTAATAAAAAAACGGCGACGCACCAGGTACCGACTAGATTCCAGCGCCGTCTTCCATGAGGACGGGAGGAGGCAGAGGATGCGAAGCGGGCGTGCCGGCACTCAGGCTCGCTCGGAAGTCACTGGACGCCACGGGCAGCCACTCCGCGCCGCCTGGCCAGGGTCGCTGGCGCCCCCACCAGGCAGCAGCTCCAGGGGCCTCGGGCGCCCCAGGAGCCCACAGCCAGCCAATAGGAGCTGAGAAGGCGCAGGGGGCGAGGCCTACGCTCCAGCGAAGAACCACGCCTCTCGCATCCGGCCGGCTGCCTGCGGCCTGGGGACCTCGCCCGGACGCCTGGTGTCCGTGTTCCCGTCCACCACACTGCCCGCCTCTTCCTTTTAATTTTTCTTGGTGTGACTGGGGTTTGAATGCCGGACTTTGACCTCGCAAAGCAGGTGTTCCACCGCTTAAGCCACATCTCCAGTCCATTTTGCTCTGGTTATTTTGGGGAGGGAGGGGGAGCCCACGAACTACTTCCCTGTCTGGCCTTGAACCGCGATCCTCTGATCCTCTTGATCGCAGCCTCCCAGGTAGCTAGGATTACAGGAGCTGCTCTTTCTTTCCTCCCCCTCCCTCTCCTTTTTTAAAGTCGTAATTCTTTAAAAGAACGTGGAGCAACAAATGATTTAATCCAACAGCCCTGTAAGGTGTTGCAGATGAAGCCAAGCTTGAAGGAACCTGGAAACAGGCCCGACTCCGACCTTTATGTACAACAGATATAAATTCCCACATGTGGGAAGGCGAGGCATGCACAGCGGCTTTTGGAAACCTTAACACACATAACGCAGAGGAAAGAGGAACTTACATTCAAGCTGGGTTAGTTTTGAGTTAGGATGGGGTCTTTGAGTTGAGATAGGGCTTTTATCTGTTCCCCAAGCTGGCCTCCAACCTCACTCCTACCCATCTCTGACTCAGGAGTGGCTGGGATTATAGGCATCTACCACCATACCTGTCCTCACTCTAACTTTTTGTTTTGTTTTTGAAACAGGATCTTCTTATATACTACACACTGGCCTCAAACTAGTTAGTGCTCCTCCTGCTTCAACCTCCCAAGTGCTGATTCCAAGCACGTGCCACCACACCCAAACCAATCTGGTTTTAAAACAGCCCAGATCGACAACTCTTTTTACTCTGCATTTGGTTCTCCTATTGCTTTAATGTTATTCTACTGTTCATTTTCACAGTTGAGCTCCAATTAGCCTATGTTAATCAAGGGAGCTCCCCCTGCCCCAAAGAAAATCCTATCTCAGCCTGGAAACCTGCCCTAACTAAGGTAAAGTGTTTTTTTTTTTTTTGCTTAGAGAGCTACACTGGAACGTGCCTGAGTATGAAGAATATCTGTACAATAATCCAGTCATACTTCATTTGAAGAGCTGCTTTAAAACCCCAGGTTTATCAGCTCGTCTTCATTAATGCTACTTTCTGTTAAATACCCAGAAAAAAATAACACAGTGCTCATAGCTTATCCTTCCTTTTAGTTAAGTTCAGCATGATGTTTGGCACCACCCAGTGGCAGTCTCATTGTCATAGAAGTCCCAACTTAGCAAACTTGATTATGAGAGAATTCCTCAATCAACAGAGACTGAAGTTGTAAATTAAACTTAAAGCAATTTTATTTTTTTAAAGGTCATCTAGTTTCAATCCCCAACACTGGAAAAAAAAAAACACAAAAAACACAAAAAAACTCCAAGTACTTTATTTTTTAAAATTCTCCTTTTCTTCTCTCTCTCTCTCTATATATATAGACTGTCTTTAAAGTTGTTGCACCTTAGGGGCTGAAGTAGCTCAGTGGTAGAGTGCTTGCTTAGCATGCTGGAGTTAAATTCCCTGCACTGCAAAAATAAGTAAAATAAAGAATACAGGTTAGAAGGAAGGGTTCTTTGTAAGGCGTATATCAAATTTTTCTTATGAGAAAATATAAAGTATCATCATCACTGCTTAAAAGGAAGTGAGAGAAATCAGGATGCTTCCTGGAGAAGTCTTCTAATTAGTTCTAAGAAAACAGGACAGCAGCTCTGTCCCACAGCAATCTAAAACAAGACCTCCCTTAACAAATACATGGAAAACACCTTTACCAATTTGGGAAAAAAGGCAAAATTCTAGGTGCCTAGGCTATGCCCTGATTGTCCATTTCTGTTTGTTTGGTGGCTTGAACTCAGGGCCTCAAGCTTGCTAGATAGGTGCTCGACCACTTTAGCCACACCCCCAGCCCTTTTTTGCTTTACTTACTTTATGGATAGGGTTTTGTGGTTTTGCCAGGAGCCAGTCTCAGACCACTATCCTCCTACCTATGCTTCCCACATAGCTGGGATTATAGAAGTATGCCAGCACACCAAGCTTATTTTTTGGGGATGGTGGGGGGGTCTTGCTAACTTTTTGCCTGGGCTGGCACTAGAACTACAATCCTCCTTGTCCTTACCCTTCAAGTAGTTAGGATTACAGGTGTGAGTCACCATGCAGGGCCCCTGATTTTCCATTTCTGAAAGTTAAAATTTTCTGTTCTGTAAACTTCCATTTAGCAAAAGATACTATAGAAATTAAATTACTGTATTTTCTCAAAAGGAAGAAAAAAAACAACCCAGTTCTTTATTGGACTTTTTTCACAGGAGTCTTTTTCTTTTCGGTGTCTTAAATATCAATGATCACAAAAACCTCTGGCTTCTCTTCATTATAGACCTGCATCGCTGAGTATGTTATTGCTTTGACTTCTGTTCCCTAAAGGTGGGGTTAGAGAAAAACAAATATGAAAAAAAGACACTGAAATCAAAATCTTTAACTCTAGTAACAATTAATAGAAAGTCAAAAATGAAATATTATCCTGAAAAATTTAAAATCCACATGAAACAATGACTTACAAAATAAGTACACTATTACATACCAATTGAATAAAAATGAGGCACAGATTGAATAAAAATGTACACAGAAGCAACAGCACTGAACTGGAGTTTGGAAACGGGGCTCCAATGCACTTGGTTCCACGTGGGCAGGGAAGCTGTCTGACCTGTGTGAGCATCCGTTTTTTCATTTATAAAATGAGCTGAATCAAAGAATACAAGCTTTTCTGCTCTGGCCCAGAGCTCTCCTTAGTCCCTACCCACGCTCTCATGCTCTGACCTGGGCTCTAGGAACTCAAGTCTGCTCTCTCCCCCCAGCTGCTAGTATCTACTCACCTCCTGGGATTCTCTCTCCAAGTCTAGCTGGAGAGCTCACCATAGGAGTCTGATACACTCCCCACACCCTGCTCCAGTTTAGAACCATAGGATTGGGTGTCCTCTCAGTTTTCTTCCAGGTCTAAAAAGAACCTAGTATAATTCTGTGCATCACCAAATATATCAAGCAATAGGTGAATATCATTTGCTAGCTCTACAGCCCAAAACCCATGCGAAGACTTCTCAGGAGGAGATGAGTAGCATCGACTCCACTTTTCCCTCTGCCATCATCACCTGGGAAACCGTAACCTAAGTCAAATTCAACTTTCTGCCTGAGGCGGCACACACCATGTTGACTGGTGTCATCTCACTTATACATCCACATCTCAAAAGGGCATTCAGCACTGACCCCTAATCGTCCAGGGACAGCTCAATTCCCTTTCTCCTTCTCTGAGACAATTACTTCCCATCTCCTCTGGCATCCTTCCCTTCTTATTCTCAATCTCAATCAACAATGCTTCAGTAAGCACTGGCTCATGTTCCCACCAACAATCTACCATCTCTCCATGTATCTGTTCTCAAATCAGCCTTCCCTGTAGTAACAATGAATGGCTTGTCCCTATGCCTGACAGAAGGCCAAGCCAACTTGTCCCGTTGAGCACTTGACCTTACACCCCTCCCCTTACCAAGGTCTTGGCTCTGAAATTATCCTCCCTCTTTCCACCGTATCAATTTTTCCTTCTTCTAAATCATTTTCACTTGATTTAGACAAAAAAAAAAAAAAATCTTTCTCCATTACTAGCCATAGTCACTTCCAGCTATCTTCCTGTTCCCCCTTTTTGCAATTGCTTCAAAAACACTGTCTATAGTCAGGCACCAGTGGCTCGTGCCTAGCTACTCAGGAGGCAGAGATCAGGAGGGTCGCTGTTCGAAGCCAGCCCAGGCAAGTAATTTGAGAGACCCTCTCTTGAAAAAAAACCTTCACAAAAAAAGGGCTGCTGGAGTGGCTTAAGGTGAAAGTCCTGAGTTCAAGCCCCAGTACTGCAAAAAAAAAAAAGCCTATCTATCTATCTATCTATTGCCTCTACTTTCCCATCACATCACCTGAGTCTACTGACTAGTAAATCTAGGTCCTTCTCTTACTTGTATAAGTAAGAAATGGCTATTGCACACAAGTCCCTCATCAGGCTCCGTTTTAGTGAAGAAATGACGCAGCAGTTACCAAAAACAACAGGATTTTTCGGTCACCTAGAACTAATTTAGACCTCTTCGGCCTAAACACAAGGATCATCAAATTACAGCCCATGGGCTGCTGGCTGTTTCGTATACGCTCACAAAAGAAGATTTTTTTTTTTTTTTTTTTTGGCAGCACTGGAGTTTGAATTCAGGGCCTCACACTTGCTAGGCAGGTACTCTTATCACTTGATCCACTCCACCAGCCCCAAGAATGTTTTTTCATCTCTAAGTGATTGGAAAATAAAGATCAAAGATCAAAAGAATATTTCAGTGCACACTTGGACAGCACATAGACTAAAGTTGGAACAATATAGAGAAGATAGGCATGGCTTCTGTGCAAGGATGATGCGCACATTCGTGAAGCGTTCCTTTTTTTTTTTTAAAGAGTATTTCATGACATCTTAAAATGATAAGAAATTCAAATTTCTTTTTTGTTTTGAATATGTAGCCTTAGGATCACGAGTAGCCTCAGCCTCCCAGATGTTGGACTTACAGGAGCACACCACCATGCACAGCTAGAAATTCAAGCTTCAATGCCCATAAATAATTTTAATGGGCTGTAACCATGCTCATTTGATTGTGAGTGGTCTGTGGATGCTCTCGTGCTACAATAAACGTACTAAGTAGTTGCTCATCACTTCAACCACAAATCTTAACACATTTATTTGGCCCTTTACAGAAAAGTGGCCAGCCCATTTCAACAGATTTAACTATTACAGAGTGAGGCCACCCAGGTTGGCAAGTACAGAATCTAGAGAATCACAGAAGGTAGAAGGTATTTTTTAAAGACCTCTAGTCCACATTGTGTAGTGTGGTTCAAGCAGTAGAGTACCTGCCTAGCAAGCACAAAGCCGAGTTCTAACCCCAACACTATGGAAGGGGGGTGGGGGTGGAACTAGCTAAACACGTTCACTGTAGAAGATACCAAGTCTCAAAAACGCAAACGGACTTTTGAGTTCCACAACAATCCATAACAAACTTGACCCTAGAACCCATTGCTAACTCTCATTCCACCAATCAGGTATGTAAAATCAAGTGTTTTTTAACATAATCCAGACAGCTCAGAGATGTTTAAGAAAAACTTATCATTTCATACCAGTTAGAACCAGTTGAAGTTTACTGTCACACATACAGTCATTATGGTAAGGAAGTATAAAATATTTTAATAAGCTTTAAAATATACCTGAGGGTGCTTGGACAGTGAAAATTCTTCTCCCCACCTTGAGAAGGAAAATGAAAACATGATTAAGATGTTTAAATTTTTACATTCTCTCTTTCTTTATGTATTTCCTTTTTTCCTTCCTTCCTCCCTTCTTTGATAGTATCAGGATCTGAACTCAGGGCCTCACACTTGCTAGACAGGTACTCTACCACTAGAGCCATGCCCCCAGCCTCTCCTATTAGATATTTTAAAATAAGCTTTATAAATGTAGTTCAGATACTAAAGAGCCAAAATGAGATGGGAGGACTAGAGGGGCTAAACAGTTGGGCACTGGTGGCTCAGGCCTGTAATCCTAGCTACTTGGGAGGCTGAGCTCAGGAGGATCTTGGTTTGAGGCCAGCCCAGGCAAACAGTTTATGAGACCCCCAACTCCAGAATAACCAGAGCAAAATGGATTGGAGGTGTGACTCAAGCTGTATAGTACCTGCTTTGCAAGTGTGAAGCCCTGAGTTCAATGACTAGACTGTTTCTAGTAGAGTCTCAATAAACACTTAGTGAATATTTCATAATAGTGTACAACATTTAAATTTTTCACTGTACTCAGAGCTACAAAACCAGTTAAATAGTTATCTTCTATGGCAAAAGCAGGTTTGAATACTAGAAACACAAAACACTAGATTCAACAATACTTTTTGAGCTTAATTTGCCTTTTCCAACTTTTCTCAAAATGCCCACGTCTGTATAGAGAAAGCTCTAGAAAGGTACTCTCCTAGAACTTGGACTGTTCTCCTTCCCTTTACACCAATGTGGCTGAACACAGTAACATGATGCAATAGAAACACCAAAGTTTTAACATTCTGTTCAACAATTTCTTACTTAACGAAGTGCCTTTAAAGAAGCCTGTTTCTTTACCTATTGAAAAACAAAGGAAGTCGTACATCACCATGCATGTAATCCCAGACTAGGGAGGTTGAGGCAGGAGAATCATGAGTTCAGGTTAGCCTGAGCGATATATAGCAAGACCCCACTCAAAAAAAAAAAAAAAAAAAAAAAAAAGAGAGAAAGAGAAAATACCAAAACTTACCCAATTGACCGTAATTTGAAATTTCTTTGATCAATATTGAGTACTTTCACTTCCTAAAGAGGAAAACAAATAATTTTTTTTTATTTTTAAAAAAGTTAACACTAGACCATCTACTAAAACATGTCTAAGTTACCACTTTTTCTAGAAATAATAGCATACAACTTCTCTGAAGCAAAGCAAATTAAAATATTAAGGAAAACAGAACAAGGGCTGGTGGAGTGACTCAAGTGGTAGAGCTTGCCTAGTGAGCATGAGGCCCCAGTGTCAAAAATAAAATAAAATAGAACAATGAGGCTTGGTGTGGTGGCTCACATCTATAATCCTAGCTACTCAGGAGGTTGAGATCAGGAGGACTGCGGTTCAAGGCCAGCCCAGACAAAAAGTTCTTGACACCCTCATCTCAATCAATAATCTAGGCATGCGAGGCATAAACAAGAGGATCACAGTTCAGGCTGGCCCTGGCAAAATTCAAGACTCTACCTGAAAAATAACTAAAGCAAAAAAAATGGCTTGAGCCATTCTGCAAGTATACAAGGCCCTGAGTTCAAACCCAACAGTACCACCAACCAAAAAAAAAGAAGAATGAAAAAAGAAAGAACAAGCTAAACCTATTTCAAGGCAATTAGATTTTTCTTCAATATTCAAGAGGGGTACACTTGAAAAATATACAACCTAAAAATAGGAATAAAGAGGCAACTACAGGTACAGCTCAGTGGTAGAACATGTGTTTAGCATGCACAAGGACCTGGGTTCAAATCCCGGCACACACACACACAAAAGCCAGGCCTGGTGGTGCACAACTATAATCCCAAAACTTGAGAGGCTGAGGAAGGAGAGGGGGATATCTCTGTAAGATAAATGGTAGAGGAGGAGGATATAGCATTTTAATCATTCTCAGCCTATTTTTTTTTTTTCTCAGCCTATATTTTACTTGATACTTTGAGACTTGATGTCTATAGGACAAGTGACTCAGTTGGTAGAAGACAGGAAGAGAAACTGGAGCTGGTAAACAGAAGGAAGCCTTCCAGAACAGGGAGGGCCATGTGTTAAGACAACATTAGAGGGGTGTCCTTCTAGAGGTTGACAGCAGAAGCAATCTCTATCTGGCTTTTCCTTTTTTTACATTAAGGAGAATTAAAATCAGTGGAACTAGGGCAAAGTAGCAGAACTGCTAAACTTCAAATGGAACAAGAGGAACACATGCTCAGGTGCAAATACAGCTCAAACTTAGGAAACATAACACTGTGGAAGAGGACTGTGGGCACAGTCTTTTTTTTTTTTTTTAGAGTAGATGCATTCTTATCATACAATCCTGATTAATGACAAGTACTACATGATCAAAGATCTGAATACAAAATGCATACATATAGGCAAACTCAGGTTAACCAACAAGTGCCTATACTTTCTTATCTTAATCATCTACATGATTTAGTTTTGCACCACATGTCCTATTTTCAATCATTTGTTCTATTGTAAGATATGAACCCACTTGCTAAAACCCTTGCTTACCCGGGGTATGAAGAATTCATCAGCACTGAATTTATAAAGCCATTCATCCAAAAAGTGAAACAGAAGAGATTGTAAGTCATCTCCTACACAGGATCAAAAAGGTCATAATATGATGCTTAATAATGCTGGTCTCTAACAACTTGTCTCAATTTTAAAGTGCAACGAATTTCTTAGGCTAGTTTACAGACTCACAGTCAATTTTATTGTTTGTATAGTGAAAATATACTCAAATCATGTAGAACACCACGTATCTGTTTAACACTTATCTCCTTATCAATAAATCAATTACCTTGAGTTTCTACTTCAACTGTTTGGAGGGGCTCCACAGTCCCAGTATCTGTCATGTAACCAAACATGGCCATTGCACACTGTTCAAATGCTTCCTCCAGAGTATCTCCCCATGCATGTAACCTAAAGAAATACATTCATACTCTGTGTAATGTATTTCACTGAAAAAGAGAAAACTCAACAGCAAATCAAGTCAATTTGATAAAGACAAAACTAAAAACCTAATTTAATGGCATCAAAACTGAGTGCTTTTAACTATCATTTTCATGTTTCAAAGAAACAAAAATAAGAGGGAAAAAACTAAAACTAGAGACATCGCTGGGCGCGGGGGCTCACGCCTGTCATACTAGATACTCAGGAGGCAGAGATCAGTAGGATAGAGGTTTGAACCTAGCCCAGGCAAATAGTTCACGAGACCCGATCTTGAAAATACCCGTCACAAACAAGGGTTGGTGAAGTGACTCAAGGTGAAGGTACTGAGTTCAAATCCCAGTACTACAAAAAAAAATCTAGAGCCAAAGCCATCCAAATTAAGATATTCAGCCTTCCTATTTAAAGACATGGTTTCAAAGGAACAAACACCAGCTATACTCACTGGACATCTGCTGTATGATCCAAATCTGAGGGAGAGAGGGAAAAACATTTATAAGTCACTAAACTTGACTCTCAAACCATAAGAAAATAACTCTAGTGAGACAGCCAGCAGCAGCAGTGGTGAGGAAGAAAAAAAAAACTAAACTAAAACAAAAGAAACTCTAAGAACATCATCTTAGACCAGCAAAGTGACACGTCTGTAATACTACACTCAGGAGGCTGATGCAGGAGGAGCAAAAAAAGTTGAAGACTAGCCTAGTGAGCTCCAGTCGAGCCCGGGGTACAAAAAAAGACCTTATCTCAAAGACAAGGAAGAAAGCAGGGAAGGAAAGGGAGGGAGGAAAGAAGGGAGAAAAACAGGGAAGGAAGAAAGAAGGAAAGAAGGAAATCCTCGAAGAATAAGAAAACATGAGGCAGCCTAGCCCATTTACCTATTGCTATTTAGTTACTCAGCAAATTTAATTGTTTTATTAAGGTTTTTTTTTTTTAAGCCAAGGCTCATATTTAAATGAATGACAATTTCTGGAAGGTAGCAAGGATGCCTAGGTGTTCTAAAATGTCCAAACTAGGTGCATTGTTGTGTACCTGTAGTCCCAGCAACCTTGAGGTTGAGGCATAATGACCACTTGAGCTTAGGAGTTCACTGCTATCCTTTATTTTTGGAGGTGGTGGATAGCAATTACGGTTTCTCAATTAACAAATGCCATTTGCTGCTATCAGTTACTTTTCCCTAACAAAATAAATCAGTTTGGGTTTTTTGTTTGTTTCTTTTTTGCAGTGCTGGTGATCAAACCCACTACCTGGAGCATGCTATCCAAGTGCTCAACCACTGAGCTGTATTCCCTGTTCTAGTATCTTTTCTAAATATCTACTGTGTGAATGATCAAAATTTTATCAACTACCACATCATACAAAATATAAAATTCCAGATTTGTCTCATTTCATGAACAGCTAAAATAGTTTTTAAAAGTAAACTCACAAGACATGAGCTTTTTCCTGATATTCCTCCAGGGAAGACCGGAAAGGTCTAATTGCAACTATAGCACGTTCCATTAGATCTGTTATGTAGACATTTTCAGTCTATTCTTCACTTGTATCTTGACTTCCATCAATTCTTCCCATTCCCATCACAGGACATGAGGGCTAGAAGGAATACTTAGAGGTTACTTAATTCCTTGATTTACAAGGAATTATTCCCTGGCTTACAAAACCAAAAGCAAAACCAAAAACCAAAACCCAAAACAAACTCCAATGTCCATCAATAAGACACAAAGTATAATTAAACAACAGAACAAATAGAACAGTGCTCATCAATTTATAAAGCATGAACTACTGATACATGCATCAACATGAATCTGAAAACACTGAGAACTGTAATGCAGAACTCTCAGGACATGTTATCGAACACTTGCACTTGACCAAACTCTAGCATGGCCAGAGTAGCCATAAGGCCACATCCCTAGGTGGGGGAGGGCATTAAAATTCCTGCCTGAGAAAAGCTCAACAGAGGCAGAACTGTTTGTTCTAACCACCTCCCTTTCTTACAGCAAGTACTCAAAAGGGCTTTTAACTGTGAGTCAGCAGTACCAGAAAGGGTTTACAATTGTGAGTATCTCTTACAACTTAGAAGTATCCTTCTCAAGGACCCGGGAGACATTCCTATGAAATGTAATCATCCCTACAGTCTGGACCTCTATCTGCCAGTCTGTGGGAGGACAGAATACAAACTTCCAGAACTGTTAGATAGCAGACACAGGCCTCTGCATTTACACCATTTACAATGACTAATCCTTTGTACTCTGTCACTGCTCTGATTCTACTGAGCCTTCCATCTCTCCCTGTAAAACACCCAATCATCTTTGTACAAATCAGACTGGAGTTCAGCAATTTTCCCTATTGTCAGTAGGTACTAAGTAAAATCTGAGCTCACCATTCTAACTTGTGTCCAGTTGTATTTATCTTTGGTGTAGGTGATGAAGCTAGACATAAGACAGTCTATACAGTGTGATTCCATTCATACGAAACTCTAAAAGAAAATTAAGCTATGGTGATAGAAAACACAAGTGTTTGCTTCAAGCTAAGGGGATGAGGGCTGACTGGAAAGGAGCATGAGGGAACTTTTTAGGTTGATAGACATGTACTGTATCTTGAAAGGAAGGATGTTACACAGGTGTATCCATTTAGCAATGGTCTTTAGGATATGAGCACTTTGCTCAGGATTGATGTGTAAATTATTCTTCAATTTTTAAAAAGAGAGTAACACATTGCTATTGAACAATGGTTCTCAAATTTTTCTTGTCTCAGGACTCCTTTACTCAAAGATTATTGAGGATCTCAAAGAGTTTTTGTTTATACAAGTTACATCAGTATTAGCCATATTAGAAATTTTAACTGAGAGAAAACTTTAAAATACTTATTCATTTAAAAATATCAATAACTGGACACTGTTAGCTCATGCCTGTAATCCTAGCTACTTGGGAGACAGAGATGAGGAGGATCACAATTTGAAGCCAGCCAGGGCAAATAGTTCTGAAAACATTATCTCAAAAATACCCAACACAAAAAAGGGTTGGTGGAGCGGCTCAAGTGGTAGATCACCTGCCTACCAAGTGTGAGGCCCTGAGTTCAAACCCCAGTACTGCCAAAATACACACACAAAAATGTTATTTTAATATAAATAATACAATTTATAAATAATTATTATTAATTATATTATATAATTAATAATAATATTATTAATTATATTATATATTCAATAATATAATAATTATTAATTATTAATAATTTTAATATAAATAATACAATTTTATTAAAAATATATTGTTAAAAATTGAGAAGAGTGGCACTGTATTGTATTTTTTTCAAATTTTTTTAATGGAACTCTTCATGAATTTTTATGTCATCTTTGTGTAGGGGCCATGCTAATCTTCCTTGTATCATTCCAACTTTTAGTACTTTTAGTATATGTGCTGCCTGAGCGAGGGCGGAAACATTTTTAATGTGCTGCAATATGTTCACTTAGCTCAGAGTGCATAAATAAAATCCAACCTTGGGCTGAAGCTATAGCTCAGTGATATGGCATTTACTTAGCATGCATGAGTCTTGGGGTTCGAGCCCCAGCACCAAGAAAAAGAAAATTAAGTTCAACCTCACAGGTATGCAAGAGACAAAAAAAAAGGCAAGGCATGGGAGAGAGGGGTAGCTGGGCATGTGGTGCTCACCTGTAGTCCCAGCTCTAGGGATGATGAATCAGAAGGATCATGAGTTTGTGGTCAACCTGGGCTAAATGGCAAGACCCTGTCTTAATTTAAAAAAAAAAAAAAAAAGGGGGGGAGCAGGAGGGGGTGGAGTGGGTGGTAAGGGAGGGGGTGGGGGCAGGGGGGAGAAATGAACCAAGCCTTGTATGCACATATGAATAATAAAAGAAAAATGAAAATAAATAAATAAATAAATAAAAATAAAAAAAAAAAAGGAAAGAAAGAGAGAGAGAGAAAGGAAAAGGAGGGAAGGGAAGAAGGGGAGAGAAAGCAAAGACAGAATTCCTCTCCCCCTCCCCTCTAGGGATTGGGCTTCACTCATGCTATGGCAAGCACTCTACCACTGAGGTACACTCTTATATCCAAAGGAGTATTTTAATATTTTTTTCAAATATTGGCAGTACTGGGGGTTTGAACTCAGAGCCTCACAATTGGTAGGCAGGCACTCTACCACTTGAGTCATCCACCAGCCCTAGATATTCTTTTTTGACATTATACCAAACTCAAAAAGTGGTAGCTAATTTTTTGGGAGAGGTTTAGGGGAATTTTTGAGATAGGGTCTCAATACGTATTGCAGGCCAGTCTGAAACTCCTGATCCCCCTGCCTCAGCCTCCCAAGTGCTGGGACTAAAGAGGTGCATCATCACACCTGGCAAAATAATTGTTTTTTTAAAGGTTAACTGTAACGTGGAATTTGAAACTCTAACGGTGAACTTTTTGTACTCTGTAACATTAAAATTCAATGATCTCTTGTGTGCTTAGAATAGATTTTATCCAAGCAAGGCATGGGAACCCAAGTAATCCCAGTACTGAGGCTGGGGCAGGAGGATCTTGAGTTCAAGGTCAGCTTGAACTACATAGTAAGACCCTTTCTTTAAAAAAAAAAAAAAAAATCTTTTGGAAAAGCAATTTGAGAAGTTTGTTCCTCAGACGCACTTCCACTTGTACAAAATATGGAAATAAAAAGTGTATTCACTGCTACATTGTTTTAATAGTAAAACAGTTCAACTACCCTAAATGTCCACCAATTGGAAACTGGTTTAATTAAGTAAATGCTAGAACATCTGTGCAGTTACACATAAGAAAAAAGTAACTACAGTTGCTCAAGAGAGGGAGACTAAATGGTCGAGGATCAAATTGAAAGACAATTTTTTACTGCATGGCTGTTTGTTTCTATGTTGCCCACCTTCTGGGTTCAAGCAATTCTCTTATTTCGGCTTCCTGACTACAGATGCATGCCACAATACCTGGCCACTTTTTGAATTTTGAACCACATATAGACGACTAATTAAAATGTATTTAAAATTGTTTTTAAGTGAAAGATATGTGAGGGAGATAGGCTGAATCCAGAAAGCAAAAATATGATAAATACTTTTAACTTTTATATAAGAGGACAATGGAAAATGAATGGAAGACTTTAAGCAGAGAAGTGAGACTGATTTGTGGACCCAAATCGTAGCCACCTTTAGGAATGACAGCTTAACTTTTAATATAGAATTGAGGAGATGGGGTGGGGGTGTGGCTCAAGTGGGCGAGCACTTGCCCAGCAAGCCGGAGGCCCTGAGTTCAAACCCCAGTACCGCCAAACTAAAACAACAACAAAAGAATGTAAAGGCCTGCACTATACTTTCACGTGCTTTATTACTAGTGGTGCTGGGATGGAGCCCAGGGCCTCACATGTGCTACGAAAGCACTCCACCACTCCCCCAGATCGCATCGATTACTGCTTATTCTCCAGGTGAAGGAAATGAGATACAAAAATAGGTAATATAAAGACCTAAAAATCTCTGATACAGATCATGTTACTAACGACACGATCGAGGTGAAACACCAAGTCGGAAATCCTTTTTCTTTTTTTTGGCTTTCTTAGTCCTCTAACCTAGTCCACTATTGATATAGGACCCCGCAAACTCTTGAAAACACCAATGTCTTTACAATAAATGCACTAGTAACATTTACAAAGATGAACGTGACTTGGCACAGGTGAAAGAAGTTTACAAGACTGCAAATGTGGGAGCCCAGATTTTCTGACTCTCAAGCCACGTGCCTTTTTTATTTTGCATCTCTCCGAGGACAAGTACAAAAAATACAATACAGGGCGCAAACAAGGCACAACCCAGGGGGCGTACAAGACGAGACCGGAAGCCCCAGGTAAGAAGACGGGGGTGCCCGCGTGTCCGTATCTCAAGACAGAAGAGAGTGGCCTACTCACATTCGTACTTCCGATTGACGGGAGGATACTTGGCCTTGATCGCCTTCTGCTCCTCAGTCAAATTATAATCTCTAACATCGTTCTCTTCTTCAGCCATGGCGGCAGAATTGGGCACTCTACTTCCGCCCTTCGCCTGCCAGACTTCGACCCCGGGTTACAACTTCCGCCCTAGACTCCGCCCCTTCGCTTGCTCTGTTGAAAGGCTAGTACTCCATTCTTCGAGCCCAGGAAAGGGTTGCCCCTGAGACTTCCATCCGTAGGCCCTGAGGCCTGAGTGACGTGTTTAAAAGGCCAATGCCCCATCTTCTGCGTTAACATCACTAGTTCTTCCTAAAAACTGGTGAAACAAGATGAAGGACACCTCGAATTAGATAATCTCTGGGTTTAAGAGGTGAAGCCTTTTCTCTCCGCCTCGCCCTCAGAGTTGATAACTAGATGCGGAATCACTCTAGATTCCTCATAGTACTCTGAACGTGTCGGTACTATAACGGCCCTTAAGAAAATGGCTACTCCCGGGGAGTGTGCGGGATAAACCTCTCACGTGATCTGAAAGGGCACAGTCCCCATCAGCCCGGGCGCGCGCGCAATAGGTGGAAGTCGGTTCCCGGCGGTGTTGGGGAAAAGGGGCGGAGCGCGCGCCTCGGGCCCCCGCCAAATGCGACACTGTGCGTCGGGATAGGCCGCGAACGAGGCTGCCCCGCCCACCCGGCCGTTGGGTGCGCTCCTATTGGCCATTGTTGGCGCGAAGGAGCGCGAGCCGGCCCTCACGCAGGGGCCGCAGGAAACAATAGAGGCCGCGCGCGCGGAGCGAGCGCTCGGAGCCTCCCCGCCCCTCCCGCAACGCTCGACGCCGGGATCCCCCCGGAACGCCTGCCGCCATGGCCGACAAGGAAGGTGAGAGTGCCTGGCGGTCCGCCTTGGGAAGGCGGGGGGTGCCGGGGTTGCGTCGTGGCCTCCACGGCCGAATAGGGAGGGCAGGCCCGACTCTTTCCGAGCGCACTCCCAGTAAAGCAGGCGTAAGGAGGGAGCTCCCCGCGGGGCGGGCTAACGGCGCGTTCGTTCCTCGGGAAGACACGCAGGGCGCTGGGGAACGACGCCGGCGGCGGGGGCCCGGCGGGAGCACGTCCCTCTTCGCGCTGGCCGTGGGTCCCCCGCCTTCGGGGCCCGGCGACCAAGTCGCCTCGCCGGCGCCATGGGCTTGGCGCGCGCGAGCGAGCCTCCGAGGCCGCGGCCCCGAGCAGGGCACCCAGTGTCCGGCGGGCGGCCCTAGCACTTCCGGCCCGCGAAGGTGGAGCCGCGTCAGTGCTGCGCCCAGGCGGACAGACGAATCCCCTCCATTTCAGAGGAGGACCCCGGAGCCAGGCCCATAGTTTTCGAGAGCTTTATACGCTTCCCGTCGCTGTTCGCTAACTTCATTTTTTTTAAAAACAAATTTAGCAGCCTTTGACGACGCAGTGGAAGAACGTGTGATCAACGAGGAGTACAAAATATGGAAAAAGAACACCCCTTTTCTGTATGATTTGGTGATGACCCATGCCCTGGAGTGGCCTAGCCTAACTGCACAGTGGCTTCCAGATGTAACCAGGTGACACGAACATCTTTAACCATAATTTTATATCCTTTCATTGTAGCTTTCCCTGCTTTCTGCTCTCCCATCACCTGGAGAAGGCATGGAATTGGAGTGTATTAGTGATGTTTTATTTTGGCTAGGCCAAAAAGTAAAGCAAATGATGAAATTATTTTGTAATTTACACGGCAAGAGGAAACACTGTTTTCTGTCACTCATACTAAGTTGAATAGTCATTACAACTGTAGTCAACCAAATAATACACAAAAGGTAGAGTCCAGTTCATTCAGCAAAAACACTTTTGAATCCCTAGTCATTTGCAATAGCTGGTTAACATAATACAAAGATGAGTATGAGCTATGCCACCAAGGAGCCCATTGCCTAATTGAAGAGATGGGTGTCAATGTGTGATGAGAGCGATCATAGGTAATTAAGGTACTTAAAAAACATCTGAAGGGGACCCTAGCTAGTTCATACTTTCTAGTAAAACACCCACTGGTAAGGCCTTGCGTTCAATCCCTTGCACAATTTTTTTTAAAAAGAAAAGAAAAACACCTGAAGGTGGCATTGTACTGTTTCCACATAAGGAAGTTGGGCATAGTGAGGGCTGTGGAGACTAATTACATGTATTACTACACATGGGTAGTTTACCTTTAATAGAGGTGATAGCATCTCATCTAATTTGGCTTAACATTTATTGAGGTTCTGCATATCAATGGATACAGATCAATTATAATTGTTACAAGAGTGGCACAGAAGCCAGGCAACTAGCTAATACCTATAATGCTAGCTACTTGGGAGACTGAGATTGAGAGGATTGAGGTTCAAGGCCAACCTGGGCGAATAGTATGTTAGACCTCAGCTCCTAAATAACCAGAGCAAAATAGACTGGAGGTGTGGCTCAAGTGGTAGGGGGCTGTTTTGCAAGTGCAAAGTCTTGAGGTCAAACTTTAGTCCCACCAAAAAAAAAAAAAAAAACAGCTTAAGAGTGGCACAGATCAGAACAAGAGAACTAGAGAAATATATGTCTACTTGGAGTATTACTGTTTGCTTCCAGAAGGAACTGACAGTGCAAAGATGAAGACAGATATAAGTGGTGGTTATTAATGTTAGTTTTGGCAAAATCAGTGTGCCTGTTGAAATAATTGCTTCACTTTTCAAAATAGCATTCAAAAATTGACACACATTTTACAAATAACTTAAGAATAACACTGTTACCTTTATAGTGTGTATAAAACAAGGAAACTATTTTTTTGTGATAGGTTTTTTCGAGGTAGGGTCTTGCAGACTATTTCCCCAGCCTGGCTTCAAGGCGTGAGCCACCTGTGCCTGTCTTAAAATGGGAAATTTTGAAGGCTATTGTACAAAACTGTAGCAAATACTTTAAAATTTGGAATTGGAAGTGCCTTTCTTGACCAGGAGTTGCCACATTCAACGGATCATTGATCATCAGAAATACTTGGGAGTTCAGGATAAGGGAAGTCACTTCTGCCAGAAGTTTTCATTGATAGTTAAACCATTTAAGAACATGTGTTGAGTGCTGGGGTTGGTGGCCCACACCTGTGCTCAACATGCTGGAGGCGAAGGCAAGAGAATCATGAGTTGAGGCCAGCTTGGACTGTAGTAAGACCCTGTCCTAAAAACAAAACAAAAAAAACTTGTTTTGAGTACCGTGGGAAGGTAGTTGAATGGTGATTCCGTATTTATTATAATTATGTGCTAAATTGTGTATATTGGACTAATGAGTTCTACTATGGCTCACCCCATACCTACTAAATCATTCTGGAACCCAGATATGATTTTTAAGTTTCCAAGGTGGTGTTCTGGTTGGGTTGATTTGAAAAGCAACCAAAGTAGAATAAATTCCCCAAGGCTGAAATCTGCACTATCTTAGTAACTTACTGCTTTAGCAGATCTAGGTACATAATATATTGGGAGTTCAGAGGAGTTGTTTGCTTAAGGTAAAGATTACATACACAATCAGCCCTTAAAGTGTCTACTTTTTGTAGGTTTGTTTCTGCTGTTCATGTCTTTCTTTTTCTTTAACACATTGTAGTTCTGCAGCATTGTTACTCTCTGGTACTTTGCCTAACCTAAACACAGGCTTCTTCAATTTTGTATTCACAGTCCTTTTTTCTTTCCTATGTCCTCTTAGTAAGATAGCTGTTCCTCGCATCTTGCCTGTTGAATCTGTACAGAGGAATTCCCTTTGGTATCTCTAGACCCAACTTTGAGTTGTTGCTGGATATTTTTGTTTTGTTTTGTTTTTAGTTGAGACAATGTCTTGCCCTTTAGCCCAGATTGGCCTCGAACTCAGGATGTCTCTCAATGTCCTAAATGCTGTGATTACAGGTGTACCCCACCACACCTGGCTTCTGGAACCATACTTTACACTGTTAGATAGTCCTTCTCAGGTAGCACAAATGATGTTAAGCTATTTGTCCCTGCTTAGAAACATTCTGTGATTCCTCGTTCTCTACAGTATAGAATTCAGAATGCCATAAGCTCAAAAATTGCAAAATTGAATACTTTTTTTTTTTTTTTTTTTTTTTTGGTGGTGCTGGGGCTTGAACTTAGGACCTCCACCTTGAGCCACTCTACCAGCCCTTTTTTTGTGTGTTTGTTGGGTTTTTTTTGAGATAGGGTCTCACAAACTATTTGCCCAGGCTGGCTTCGAAAAGTGATCCTCCTCATCTCTGCCTCCTGAGTAGCTAGGATTACAGGCGTGAGCCACCAGTGCCCACCTGAATACTTAATACCAAACGTAGTCTTTTATTTAAACTCCCATATTTTATGTACCTTTCGTGTAGTGTATATTGCCTAGTATCTTGTTTACATCCATCACTGCTTTTGTTTTTCTACTGTATTGTGGATTGAACCCATAGCCTCTTGTTTGCATGTGCTGTACCACTTGAGCCATGCCCTTTTGTCCTTCCTTTGTTTTTGAGATAGGGTCACCACCTCCAGCCAGGTCCTCATGCCTTTGCCTCCTGGGTAGCTTGGACTGTAGCCGTGCACTACCACGTTCAGCTGTTTGTGGGTTTTTGAGGAGAGGAATCATGTCTTGATCAGCTTTGTACTTAGGCTGGAGATACAACTCAGTAGTAGAATGCTTGCCTAGCATGGTCAAGGCCCTGGGTTCCATCCTCAGCACTGCAAAAGGGAAAAAAATCTTTGTGTTTCACTAGCATTTGGAGTGATGTACCCATTAAGTACATAGTAAATATTTGAACAATTAGTCTACCTAATGTTCTTGCCTTTTGGGGGGGGCAGCGGCGGACAAGATACTGTGGATTTACATGCTGGATGCTTTACATACTAAACACACACTACGTTTTCCTTTTTTTCTTTCTTCTTTGAGATAAGGTCTTGAAATGTAACCCAGGCTGCTTGATCTCATGACTCTCAATCCTCCTGCCTGAACCTCCCATGTGCTCGGGTGACAGGCATGTGTCACCACACCCAGCCCTTTCTTTTCTAACAAAGAAAATATTAATGTACCCAACAATTTTCCTTCTAACTCATTGTAAAGTGTAAAATTAAGTACGATATAGTTATCTATGTACTATAGCCTTATGGAAGATGTATTAAAAGTAGGAAATAGGTCTCTTAATGCATATATATGTATATGATTGGCTTTTGTGGTCTCTCTTGATGTTACTAATCTGAATAGTGACCGTTTATTGCTATTACAGACCTGAAGGGAAAGATTTCAGCATTCATCGACTTGTCCTGGGGACACACACATCTGATGAACAAAACCACCTTGTGATAGCCAGTGTACAGCTTCCCAATGATGATGCTCAGTTTGATGCATCGCACTACGACAGTGAGAAAGGAGGTAGGAATTTTTTTTGTTTGTTTGTTTGTTTTGTGAGTCTGGGCTTTTTTGAACTTCAGGCTTTGGCCTTGC